GGTCAGAGGACAGGAAATAGTTCTGTTTTCACAAGGCTAAAAAAGTCACTGGGGGTCCAAATTAAAAAGCAATCTTGAGCATTATAATAGAAAGTATATGTATAATTTGGTAGAAATGAAGGAAATCATCAATAGAGTAAGTGGAAATTATTATTGTTCAAGGCTTTACACATGGATCAGTTTGTCAGCCTTATTTACAATATACTGGACCAAAGAGAAAAAGGGAATCAGAAGGCCAGGCTGCATGTTGCCCTCAGTACCCCAAATAAAACTATGTAGAAGTGCAGCATGGGGTGGAAGTAAGAACAGGAATGGGACTCAACAGGCAATGAGGTAAACTCTCTGCAGAGTATGGCATATGATAAGATATCCGAGGTGGAGTATAAGACAAGGCAGATAATGAGGTGTGGAGCTTAGTTCCTGGCAGACTCCTGATGCCAGTGACAGCCAGAAAACGAGGAAAATATTTGGGGTTTTTAACATAGTGAATTTCTTATTCTACTTCTTTTAAAAAGAAAGCTTTGTATACATAAATGTTAACACGTCTATAGGCATCCTTGTAAAGACAATGCTTTAAGATATTTCATTTTCCGAAGTAGAAAAGTTTCATGATTTTTAACTTTTCATGAGAAATCTAATGCTGTGTAAAAAATTTTTATTCATTCATTTATTAATTCACTTGTTTACTTATTTTATTTATTTTTTTTTGAGACAGTCTGACTCTGTCACCCAGGCTGGAGTATAGTGGCATGATCTGGGCACACTGCAACCTCCACCTCTGGGGTGCAAGTGGTTCTCATGTCTCAGTCTCCAGCGTAGCTGAGATTACAGACATGCACCACCACACCCAGATAATTTTTGCGTTTTTAGTAGAGATGGGGTTTCTCCATGTTGGCCACGTTGATCTCAAACTCCTGGCCTCACGTGAGCTACCTGTCTTTGCCTCCCAAAGTGCTTGGATTACAGGCATGAACTAGTATGCCCAGGCCATATTCTATAAGTTAATAAAGTATTTATTATCTTTTTTATTATGCAGAATGTATCTCACAGGTATACCTACTATTTGTTAGAAAATACCTTCAAAGCAGGTTAAAGTTAATGCATATCCTAATTTATCCAAAGTTAATTCTTTGTCTTTGCATAGAAAGTTTCAAATAAATAGACCCACACTTTGCTCAGGTAATTAGTACTGTGTAAATAACTAAGTATTAGACTTATTAAGAAAGAACAAGAGTGTAAGCTGAGAAAAAATAGCTTTTCATGTGGAGGCTAGAGTCAATAACGTAAAGGAAGTTTTAAATTCTACCCAAATTACTTAGACATTCTCTCCTGAATTGTCTTGCCTTAAAAATATCTGTTAATTCAGCCTAAAATGTCTTCATTTCATTTGCATAACACATGCCTTGTCACAGTATGAAGTTACCTAAAATAGTTATTATGTCTTTGGGCAAAAATAGGCAGACAGCACTGGGGAGAAAGCATGTGACTGCTTAGATCCCCTACAGAGACGGAGATTATATGTCTGGTTTCCTAAATACCAGAAGCTAGATTAGATTAAAATTGTGCCACTGAAAGACTCCCAAGATGTATCTGGGTACTATCCAAGATTCTTGCTTCCCAAAAATACCTGGTTCCCAGGGGAAAAAGAAAGGAGGAACATGGAGAAAAAGGATTTTGTTTTTCATCACTCATTATTGTAAGAGACGACCTAGTGTGAGTAAATGGCACAGGAAATGAAATACTCCTTCCATGGCCATGATTTGGGCCAAGTTTTCAATGACCTTGGAAAAAGTTTTTCTCTGTCAACATAATCATCGATAAAAATCTCATTCACTCTGCTTTTGAAGTGTGTTTAATTGGTAAAGTGCTCTGAGGTACCAAAGAAGAAATGCTAAACAAGTGTGATGTTTTCCATTATCAATTCCACATTGAAACCACAGTGAAGTCGGATTATAAAATTTCTATACCCTGCCAATTACCAGGAAGATGAGATACCTATAGGCCAATTTAAGGCACAGAGTACAGAAAATAATTAAAGATATATGCCTTTCAAAAGTACTTGGGAACTGAGGGTAAGGGAAGATGAAGATAAAATGTCTACGGGTGTCATGACAAGTTTTAAAAGGGATAGACAAAGCACAGGGGATTTTTCAAGCAGTAAAATTATTTCAAATGGAATATTAATGATGGATATAAGATATTAGTTTACAGCACAAAGAATAAACATTATTGTTTTTAAAATAACTCATGAAATCAGGAGGATCTCAGGAAGGAATGCAGACTGTGACAGCAGAGTGTAGCTGTATTACAATGTATGAAGCAACCTCACTGAAGAGAAAGGGAAAACAGTGCTGATCTAAGTAACTTTGGAAAGGAGTGGAGTCCGTAAGACTGAAGGCAAAAGGATCACATAAGCACTGTAGTCAGTTAATAATGTTATTTTCAATGGGGTGGCGGATTAACAATTCTGATACTACTATACATTTAAACTGGAATGATGTGCACTCAATGGAGAAGCTAAAAAAATTAAAAATAAACTGAAATGGAACAATTCAGTAAAGTTTCTCACTGTTGGAGTATAAGTTTACAGCAAAACAAGTGTAAGAGTGGTCATGGATTAGACTTGGAGATGTAAGTATTAACTCGTGTTTGTCTTAATATAGATACAAATGAATATATATAGAAATGTCCACAGGTATGGGTACATACATAAGTGGATACAAACATATATATTTGCTCTACTATCTGAGAGGAACTAAAACAAATGACCAGTAGCAATGAGCACACCTAGCATCCAGATCTTGGTTTCTAGTACTACTCTTGAATAAAGGAATCAAGATCTTTGCAGAAATGGCTGATTCTAAGACTGGAGAAATAAATAAGCAGATTAACCTGGAACAGCCTGTATCACCAAAAAGTATGGAAATGCTTAAACACACATACAAGTGCACACATACCCAAACACACACCCTACATTGATAGCGTATGTCAAAGGAGTGTAGTAGCTAGGAGTTCCCAATTGCCAAATCTGAAACAATCAAATTAACAAAACAAATTAAGTAGTATTTTTATAACCCAAGATATAAAATAAATAAGATAAGCACTCTCATAGAAGAATTTCGAATAATCAATGTAGTTACTTTGTCCTCAAGCAGCCTAACTCCCACTCCTTAGATGTGGTCTCTACATAATCACTTCTTTTTTTTTTTTTTTTTTTTGAGTCGGAGTTTCGCTCTTGTTACCCAGGCTGGAGTAAAATGGCACGACGTCAGCTCACCTCAACCTCCACCTCCTGGGTTCAGGCAATTCTCCTGCCTCAGCCTCCTGAGTAGCTGGGATTACAGGCACGCGCCACTATGCCCAGCTAATTTTTTCTATTTTTAGTAGAGACGGGGTTTCACCATGTTGACCAGGATGGTCTCCGTCTCTTGGACCTCGTGATCCACCCGCCTCGGCCTCCCAAAGTGCTGGGATTACAGGCTTGAGCCACCACGCCCAGCCCATAATCACTTCTTTTTAAAGAGTACAGGAAAGAAGGGAGAAATTTAACTTTACAGTGGAGAAACCTGACAAGTGCTACCTCAGCCAAGTAAGTAAGGTCAACATCAACAATGCTAAGTCATGTAGATAGTATGCATCCTCAATATGATATGGTGATGGCACTTTTGAACTATGGTCTACTTCCTAGTAACCCCAACCCCAGTCTTATTATAAGAAAGCACCACAAACTGCAACAGTGGAGCATACTGTAAGATACCTAACTGGTAACACCTCAAAGCTATGAAAAACAAGGAATGTTTCAGAAACTGCCAAAGCAAAGAAGAACCTAAAGAGACATGATAACTATACATAATATAATGGAATATTAATGATGGATACAAGACATTGTTTTACAGCACAAAGAATAAACCTTAATATTTTTTAAATAACTCATGAAATCAGGAGGATCTTAGGAAGGAATGCAGACTGTGGCAGCAGAGTCTAGCTGTATTACTATGTATGAAGCAACCTCACTGAAGAGAATGGGAAAACAGTGCTCTAGATGGAATCTTATAACTGACAAAGAATATTAGGTGAAAACAAAATGTGTGTAACTTATTGATTTTATTTAACAATAATTTATTAATATTAGTCCATTAATTATATCAAATGTTTCATATTAACATAAGATGTTAATAATAGGGAAAACTAGGTTTAGGGTATACAGAAACTGTACTACACTAATTTTCCTATAAATATAAAAATAAACCTTATTAAAAATAGATTATTTATATATGAAGTACGTGTGATCTGAGAGTAAAAGGTAAGAAAAAGAGATAACTATGATCATAAAGCTAAGTCCTGAAATGGAGAAGAATTAAATACAGTGGGAGGAGGATGAACTAAAAAGAAGGTAGAAAATGAGATTCTTTTCCATTCAGTATTGATGAAAATTCAATTATATATTGACATCACTTGGAGTCATTCTGTTTACATTACTAAAGTTCTAAATGTAGTATATGAATGTAAATAGCCAAAAATTCTACATATTTTCACATGTGATATTTTGCAGACTGAGACTCCAGGAGTACTAGACCATTTTTTCCTCTCCATCTCTGAGGATAGTTATATAGCCTTTCCTAAAGTCAGTTTCCTCATCATTAAAATGAAACTAAAACAATATATATTCAGTAAATGAATGAATAAATATATAATTACTTGTTTACTTATTTTAATTCACAAGTAAAAGTTTTATATATTTATGATATACAAATGATGTTTCAATATTTGTATACATTCTAGAATGGATAAATTAAGCTATTTAATATATACATTACCCTACATGTGTATATTCTGTGGTGAGAATGATTAAACTCTACTCTCAACAATTTTCAAATATACAATATATTGTTATTGACTGTAGTCATTATAATGTACAACAGAACTCTTAAGTCTATTCTTCCTAACTGAAATTTTGTGTCTTTTCTCCAATATCTCCCCAATCTCCTCACCCTCCAGCTTCTAGTAATCACAATTTTGCTCTGTTTCCATGAGGTCAACTTTTTTGCAATCTTCATATACCTGAGATAATGCCGTAATTTTCTTTTTGTGCCTGGCTTCTTACATTCAACAAATGTCCTCCTGTTTCGTCCATGTTTCTGCAAATATAAATATTATGCTGTTTTTTGAGTATTTCATTTTGTACTTATACCACATATATACAAAATGGTACAGCACACCTACTCTGCCAAGAGACAGGCTGGCTGCTTTTTCACATGGCTCCCCAAACTGGTTCCTACTGAATGGGTGAATGTCCCAACAGGGGTCTTTAGATACCTCATACAGAAGTACCGGGGCTAGGATCAGGTTGGTGACCCTCTGGGTCAAAGCTTCCAGAAGAAGGAACAGGTTGCCATCTTTGTCATTTTGCTACCTCTACTTGTAATAACTCTAGGTGCAGGAGGGACCCAGGTGAATAAGGTCTGGAGTGGACTTCCAACAAACAACAGCAGTCCTATGAAAGAGGGGCCTGTTAAAAACAAACAAACAGAAAGCGAAGGACATCACCAACAAAAGATCCTACAAAAATTCCATTCAAAGGTCAGAATCCTCAAAGATCAAAGATAGATAAGCCCACAAAGATAAGAAAAAAAATCAATGCAAAAACACTGAAAACTCAAAAGGCTGGAGTGCCTCTTCTCCTCCAAATAATTGCAACACCTCTCCAGCAAGGGCATAGAACTGGGCGGAGTCTTAAATGGATTAATTGACAGAAGTAGGCTTTAGAAGGTGAGTAAAAATGAATTTTGCTGAGCTAAAGAAGCATATTCTAACGCAACGCAAAGAAACTAACAACCATGATAAAACATTACAGGAGCTGACAACCAGAATAACCACTTTAAACAGGAACATAAATGACCTGATGGATCTAAAAAAACACAACACAAGAAATTGACAAGGCAATCACAAGTATCAATAGCAGAATACTCCAAGTGGAGGAAAGAATCGCAGAGCATTAAGATTATCTTGTTGAAATAAGACAGACAGACAAGACCAAAGAAATTAAAAGGAAAAGAAATAAAATCTCTGAGAACAGTGGAATTATATAAAAAGACTGAACTTATCACTTATTGTAGTACCTGAAAGAGACAGAACAAAACTATGTTGGAAAATATACTCCAGAATAACATCCCACAGAACTTCCCCAACCTAGCAAGACAGGCACATTCAAATTCAGAAAATGCAGAGAACTCCAGTCAGATGCTCCATGAGAAGATCAACCCCAAGACACACAACCATCAGATTCCTCAAGAGAAACATGAAAGAAAAAAAGGTTAAGAAAAACCAAAGAGAAATGCCAGGTCACCTACAAAGGGAAGCCCACTAGACTAACAGCAGAACTCTCAGTGGAAACCTGGCGATTCAGAAGAGATTAAGAACCAATATTCAACATTCTTAATGAAAAGAATTTCCAGCCCAGAATTTCATATCTGGCCAAACTAAGCTTCCATAAGGGAAAGAAAAATAAGTTCCTTTTCTGACAAGCAAATGCTGGAGGAATTTGTCACCACAGACCTGCCATGGAAGAGGTCCTAAAGGAAGGACTAAATATAAAAAGGGAAACCTATTACCAGCCACTACAAAAACACACTGAAGTATACAGACCGGTGATACCATGAAGCAACTCTATAAACAAGTTTGGAAAATAGCCAGCTGGCATCATCATGACAAGATCAAATTTACATATAATGATATTAACCTTAAAAGTGAATGAGCTAAATGCCCAAATTAAAAGACACAGAAATGGCAAGCTAGATAATGAGTCAAGACCCATCAGTGTGCTATATTCAAGAGACCCATCTCACCTGAAAAGACACACATAGGCTCAAAATAAAAGGATAGAGGAAATTTTCCCAAGCAAATGGAAAACAGAAAAAGTAGGGGCTGCAATCAGACTTTCTGGCAAAACAAACTCTAAAGCAAGAGAGACCAAAATAGACAAAAAAGGATGTAACATAATACCTAAGGCTTCAATTCAACAAGAAGAGCTAACTATCCTAAATATATATGCGCCAAATACAGTAGCACACAGATCAGTAAAGCAAGTTCTTAGAGACCTTCAAAGAGACTTAGACTCCCACACAATAATAGTGATAGGCTTTAATACTCCAATGTCAATATTAAACAGATTATTAAGACAGAAAATTAACAAAGATATTCATAACCTGAACTTAGCTCTGGATCAAGTGGCACTTACCTCTGTATAGATGTTTGCAGAACTCTTCACCCAAAATCAACAGAATATATATTCTTCTCATCACCACATGGTACTTACTCTAAAATTTATCACAAAATGGAAAGTAAAATACTCCTCAGCAAATGCAAAATAACTAAAATTGTAACAGTCTATCAGATCACAGCACAAACAAATTAAAACTCAAGAATAAGAAACTCCCTCAAAACCATAAAACATACATGGAAATTGAGCAACCTGCTCCTGAATGAATCTTGGGTAAATAATAAAATGAAGGCAGAAATTGAGAAGTTCTTTAAAACTAATGAGAACCAAGAGACAACATATCAAAATCTCTGGATGCAGCTAAAGCAATGTTAAGAGGGAAATTTATAGCACCAAATGCCCATATCAAAAAGCTATAAAGATCTCAAATTAACAACCTAACATCCTAACAAAAAGTGCTAGAGAACCAAGATCAAACAAAGCCCCAAACTAGTAGAAGATAAGATATAACCAAGATCAGAATGGAACTGAAAGAGATGGAGACACAAAAAACCTTTCAAGAGGTCAATGCATTTAGAAGCTTTTTTTTTTTTTTAATGAATGAAATAGGTAGACCACAAGCAAGACTAATAAAGAAGAAAAGATAGAAGACTCAAGTAAACACAATCAGATATGATAAAGGGGATATCACCACTGACCACAAAGAAATACAAACAACCATTAGAGAACACTATAAACACCTCTATGTACATAAACTAGAAAATCTAGAATAAAGTGATACATTGCTGAACACATACACCATCCTAAGACTGATGGTGTATGTGTCCAGGAATGTATCAATTTATGTATGTGTCCAGGAAGAAGTTGATTCCCTGAATAGACCAATAAAAAGTTATGAAATTGAGGCAGTAATAAATAGCCTACCAACCAAAAATAGCCAAGGACCAGATAGATTTACAGCTGAATTTTACCAGAGGTACAAAGCAAAGCTAGTATCATTTCTTCTGAAACTATTCTAGACAATTGAAAAGAAGGTACTCCTTCCTAACTCATTTTATGACAACAGTATCATCCTGAAACCAAAACCTGGCAGAGAAACAAAACAAAGAGACAATCAAACAAACAAAACTTTAGACCAATAACCTTGATGATTATCAATGCAAAAATCCTCAATAAAATACTGGTAAACCAAATCTAGCAGTACATCAAAAAGCTTACCCACCATGATCAAGTTGGCTTCACCCCTGTGAAGCAAAGTTAGTTCAACATATGCAAATCAATAGATGTCATTAATCACAAAAAAAGAACCAAAGACAAAAAAACACATGATTATCTCAATAGGTACAAAAAGGTCTTCAATAAAATTCAACATCCCTTCGTGTTAAAAATTCTCGGTAAACTAAGTGTTGAAGAAACATACCTCAAAATAATAATAGCCACATATGACAAACCCACAGTCAATATACTGAACGGGCAAAGCTGGAAACAATCCCCTTGAAAGGAGGTCCTCTCTCAACACTTGTATTCAGCATAGTATTGGAAGTTCTGGCCAGGGCAATCAGACAAGAGAAATAAATAATGGATAGTCAAATAAGAAGAGAAAAACAGTCAAGTTATCTTTGTTTGCAGATGACATGATCCTATATTTAGAAAATCCTATTGTCTAAGCCCTAAAACTTTTTAAGCTGATAAGCAACTTCACTAAAGTCTCAAGATGTGAAATCAATGTGCAAAAATCACAAACATTCCTATATATCAACAACAGACAAAGCAGAGAACCAAGCCATGAATGAACTCCCATTCATAATTGCTACAAAGAGAATGAAATACCTAGGAATACACGTAATAAGGGAAGTGGATGACCTCTTCAATTAGAACTATAAAACACTGTTCAAGGAAGTAAGAGAGGACACAAACAAATGAAAAAGCATTCCATGCTCATGGATGGGAAGAATCAATATCATGAACATGGTCATACAGCCCAAAGTAATTTACAGATTCAATGCTATTCCCATTAAACTACCATTGACAGTCTTCACAGAATTTTTTTGAAAAACTATTTTTAAATTGATATAAAACCAAAAAGGAGCCCATATAGCCAAGACAATCCTAAGGAAAAAAAAAAAAAAGAGGCATCACACTACCCAACTTCAAACTATACTGCAAGGCTACAGTAACCAAAACAGCATGTACAGGTACAGAAACAGACACATAGACCAATGGAACAAAATAGAGAACTCAGAAATAAGACCACACTCCTACAACCACCTGATCTTCAACAAACCTTACAAAAACAGGCAATGAGGAAAGAATTTCCTATTTAATAAATGGTGCTAGGAGAACTGGCTAGCCATATGCAGAAAAACTGAAACTAAATCCCTTCCTTAAACCTTATACAAAAATTAACTCAAGATAGATTAGAGACTTAAATGTAAAACCCAAAACTATAAAAATCCCAGTAGAAAAATCTAAGCAACACCATTCAGGACACAGGCATAGATAAAGATTTCATGATGAAAATACCAAAAGCAATTGCAACAAAAGCAAAATATGACAAATGAGATCTGACTAAACTAATGAGCTTCTATACAACAAAACAAACTATCATCAGAGTGAAGAGAAAACCTATAGAATGGAAGAATATATTTGCAATCTATCCATCTGACAAAGGGCTAATATCCAGAGTCTACAAGGAACTCAAACAAATTTACAAAAACCAAAAAAACTTAATTAAAAAGGTGGGAAATAAAAATATGAACAGACACTTCTCTAAAGAGGACATTTATGTGACCAACAAAAATATGAAAAAATGCTTAACGTCACTGATTATTAGAGAAATACTAATCAAAACCCCAGTGAGATACCATCTCACACCAACCAGAAAGGTGGTTATTAAAAAATCAAGAAATAACAGATGCT